CCGACTGAGCCACCCAGGCGCCCCCCTACCCACATTCTTCATGACCTTCACTTCCAACAACCTGTACAAAATCCTTCCCCATACTCCCACCACCCTTTTTCCTCTCCAGATCTCTTGTATTTCCATGCAGTGACATTCCCGGTCTCAAGGGTGCCTTGCCCACACCTCCTCCCCACCAGTCCAGATCTCGCCCAATTTTTGAAAGCCCTACCTCTGTTTTCCCTTAAGATTCTCTCATACTTCCTGCAACTGAAAAGTAAAAGTTTCTCTCTGCTGTTTTTGTGACCCATCTCTGTTCTACCCGGGTATTTATCTTATTTTCCTGTCTAACCGAGAACTGCCTTCCTCCCCCTTTCCACTGTCTATAGCACTTTGCACGTTGCCTTGTATGCAGCGAGTATTCTCTACATGCCAAATGAATGAAAGGAAATATTTGAGATTTTTTTTTATTTGAGAGAAAGAATGAGAGAGAGAGAACACATGAGAGGGGGGAGGGTCAGAGGGAGAAGCAGACTTCCCGCCGAGCAGGGAGCCCGATGCGGGACTCGATCCCAGGACTCTAGGATCATGACCTGAGCCGAAGGCAGCCGCTCAACCAACTGAGCCACCCAGGCACCCTGAGATGATTTTTAAAATGTGACCATGACTAACAAGAATAAATGAGCTGTGAGATACTGCAAGTGTAAGAAAATTATCCCACTCTGATTTGGGAAAATATGTGAAAAATAATCTGAATTTATTATTTCAGCACAGTATAATACAGGGGTGTGGCAACAAAGTAAAAACTAAAACGGATTGATATAAATATACTAAAGCCTAGTTTATCAGTTACTAAAATGATACAAGTCTCCTGTTTTATTATAAAGAAAAAAAGATTTACACTGTACACAAAAAGATTTCCTTCCAAGAGCTGTAAAGTGGAGAAAGGGAAAAGTCAAATACTTGATTTAAAAGGTGGTGTTGAGAAAAATGATCTGGCCAGCCAGCCCATCCCTTACGAGGAGACCCCCACGGGGCTTCCTTGTGACTATAAATAGACATTCCATTTCTAATGCAATCCTTCCTTCCTGAAGGATCTAGTTACTTTTTTACTATTGAGACATGCTTTCATCTTTGTGGTCCCATTTACAAAGCTGCTCGTGGTGACAGATCAGGAGGTTGGGCTTCTCTCCCTTCCTCTCTTCTGCCTTAGACGGTGGTACTCCAGGAGGGGTTGGCATTTATCCGTCTTCTCGGCTGACAAACTATATTCTGAAATCAGATCTTAACCCCTGAAAACTTCTAAAATGGGAAGTACCTATTAAAACCTATCCTCTCCCCCCTTCTATGGGTTCCCCCTGCCCTGCCAACCACTTGTACTGTGTGATGGCTCAGCTCTGTAAAGAAGCACTCCGCCTTAGTGTGTCTTCTGAAGTGGAGGAAGCAGGGTCTCCCATGATTTCAGGGAACTGGATGTCCTTGGTCACAGTCGCATATTGTTTTGAATCCAGTCTAGGTAATTAATAACCTTGGTATATATACCAGGAACATCTTTCTGCCCACAGCCAATGCCCCAACTGATGATGCCAACCAGAGTCATGCGATTGTCCTTCATACATACCAAGGGGCCACCCGAGTCACCCTGCAGTAGAGAGAACAGGTTAGTTGTTTGCAAAAAACGCAAACTCTTTGGGGAAGTTAGGGTTAATATCTGTAGTGCTGATTGTTGTATTATTCAAAATTTCAGAGAGAGAAATTTTTATCTCGATGATCTTGATCCTGTAGACAATTACGCTGTATCTACATTGCAAAGCAGAACTGAGATAATTGCTCAGACATTTCAGGCCACAACCCTCCTTTTAACTCTACCACTTACTGGCTATGTGGCCTTAGGCTAACCGTGCTTCAGTATTCTTATCCTCGAAGCTAGGGATCATACTATGTACCGTATGGGAGGTTGTTATGGGAATTAATTGGGAGAAAGCATGACATTTTGTAAAACTCTTGGTAATTGTTGGCTGTTATTGTCTTATTGAATCAAAATGATTTCTTGTTTTTGTTTTTAACTTGAAGCTTGCAGATCATGGTTTCACTTTACATACAACCTTTTTATGACTGTTGAGCTAGGGCTACAGCTGAGGTTTCTGAAGAAACCATTCAAAAAGACAAAGGTTGTCAAGGAACTGAGGGGAAAATGCTGATATAATTTACCTTATAAGAACAAAGTCCATAAAGTCTTCAATGGAAGAGCCCCGTTTCCTTCTTTTTGTTTCCCCTCTAACCCCCAGCCCCTCGATGGAGAGCTAGGCACACTGTAGGCTCAAAAATGTCTCATCAATAACAGTGCCTTGATTATATTTAGGTCCTAATACCACAGGCTGGTGTG